CCAGAAAAGTTTTGATTGCTAGAAAAAATTGTAAAATTTTTGCATTGTTATTAGTCTATGTTCTTTGGAGAATTATTTAATGCAATACTACCATTGGTATATATATATATATATATAATAAAAAGAGGGTTAAATGTCATCGATAGTCAACAGCAAGAAAAAAAAAGAATACTTGGGTGAGTACTTTATTTCTTGTTTTTCATGTTCATTCTTTATTTTTTATTAAAAAGGTAACTAAAATGTAAAAATAGAGATCCCTTTAGGTTAGTTAAGGTTAGATTAGGTAAAATAAACTATACTAGTAACATAATAAAAATATTTCATGAGGCACACACATACGCAGTCGTGTGTAATGTAATTTGATAGCATAATGTGAGCTGCATGTTCCCCAAGTGATTTACAACTTATAATGGAGCAAACAGTAGTTAGACATGGTTCAAATGGCAACAAGACATTAAGATTTAATTATAAATAGATGTATAGTTTTATAAGTGTAAAACTACTTAGGATAAATGAATGTAGTTTCCTGTTACATTTGAAGTCATTCTAGGAAGAAAAGGAGAGTAATTTAGATTTCTTTATTTTTGGTGCAGGTTATGAGGTCAGTCAAACTGATCAACTTTGTATAGAGGTAGGATAGAGAAAATAACATATAAAGTTTTACTGAAAGCAACCTATGAAAAGTATGAGGTATTAGAGATTACACAAATGAAACTTGGGATTTTTGAGCTGAAGAAAAGTATTTTAAATGTTAACATGAAAATCACTTTCATATGGACTATTCAAAACAAATACTAGATATATTCAAGAACAAATCTTTTTTAGTTTATTAAAAATACTTCACTAAAAAATATGATTTTTTGTATGTGAAAGGCTTATAATGTTTACTGAAAGAATGCCAAATTTCGTGAAGAAATACACAATATATCAAAATTAGTAGTATCAAATCTATAAAGACTTTATATGAGTACAAAAAGGTCATGTGGTTGGTCAAATTGACCCAGCCTGCTTGGAGAGAGTTAAGGTATAAGCTCTAAATTTCTGTGAAGATCAAATTCTAATATAATTGTTAACCTCTTATTGGCTGAAATGTGAACCTGTTATTTTATTACAAAATTGTTTCTACAGGTGAGTGATTTAATATAAAATATAAAGTGTGATGGCTATACTGATGTTAGTGTAGGACAAGCCAGTGAGCTTAAAGGGCCTTTAGGACATTGTAAAAAAATATGAACCTTGATTCACGTATATATTAACGAGTATATGCATTATATGGTATTCATGACATTGAGATTCAATTACATTGTAGTATATTCATTTTGTACTTAATATTTTAGGTTGAAAAAATGATAAAAGAAACTGAGAGAAAAGCCTATATAGACCCTGATAAAGCATTAGAAGAAAAGAACAAAGGAAATGAGTATTTTCAAAAAGGTCAGTACTCTGTAGTAGTACAATGATGGTTTTTCTTTACCTACTAAAATAAAAATATGGACAGTTTAAACATTATAATGTAGAGGTTTTAGTATGTTTAATAAAGGTGTGTAACACTCCACATTATTATTGCACTATGTTACAAAAAATACTGGGATATTGGTCTTTGGGAACTTAGTAGTGGGATTTACCTTTTGGGTAATTATGTCTGGATATTATTATGAATAATTCCACTAACTACTGTAATACACCTGACTCAATAGACAACCTCTCCCCTCCTCTTGCAAAACATCTCTAAGTATAATGAGATTTTGATGTTTGTAATTCAGTTGAATTCTTATTGGAAGTTTTTAGCTAGCAAAAACAGACTTTCTTACCATTTCTGAACAGGTTTGTGATATGTATAGAGTTCCTCACCACCAGTAATGGTAATACAGCATTTTGATAACGTCACATTACAATAAAGAATTCATGATACTTTTTTCTGTTGTCAGTGAGTCAAGCCCAAACTATCTTGCACACTATTATTCTGTAATATGGGGCAACAGTCATACCCAAAGTAGTTTTCAGTTCAAGTTGCCATCAAACCCAGATTCGTCTATTCACAGCAGTAAACAGCTAGAAGTGGACTTCATTACTTAATTCATAATTTTCCATTATTCTTCACCCCATTTTACTATGCACAGTTGTGATGATTTGGTTATGAGTTGCAATCTGTTTGTGAAAATCCAGTAGTAAGTAACTCTCTGACCTGCAGTCATGAACGAAGAAGTAATATGTGTGGTTTCATTTCATATACACATTTCAACAAAGTTTGCACTGACCAAGAAGTGATGAGTTGTGGCAGTATGCCATGTAATAATGTCCAGTGGGTTTGGATGTGAGGAAGTGGATTACTGTACTAAATAATAATTTCTCCTTCAAATTCCTTAAACTTATTCTTTAAGGCATTTTGATACTTCTATCTGTGAAGCTGAGAACCTTAATAAGCCCTTTTGCAGCTGTGCCCTGTGGATTTTCATGCATTATTGGTGTGAATGAGTTCAGTGCTATCTGGGGTGTGCTGTCCTAATGCTTTTGTTACTCTAATATATACACATATACTTAAACTTTAATATCATTTTCATTGTTTTTTAAAAAGTATTCTGTTCAAAGTTACAATTATTAAGATGTATTAGAGTTAACTAAAAAATGAGACCCACTTGCCACATCCACTTACACAGATTGCTAAAAGTTCTATCTGACATTTTATACTATATTATTTATAACCACTAGAAAGCCAAAGTTTTAGTCTATCAAATGACATATTATAATATGTTTTTTTCAGTACAGAGCATTGTCTGTTTTGTCTTCGATTTGATAGTTTCTCTTGAGGTGTTCAAATCGAAAAGTTTTGGGAATTGTTTTGAGGTTATAGGACATTGTTTGCTGTGTGCATGATATTATTCTGGGTTCTCAGATGCATTATGTAAGTAAAGTAATATTGTTCTGTGTACAAGTACCATTTGTATATGTGTGTGGGCAACCAACAGCAAAAAAAAAATGACAAGATATGCTCATGAGCTGTGTGTTCACTGAGTGATTTACAACTTGTGTGGTGAGAGTATTAGTTAGATACAATTCAAAAGGTTATAAAATTAGGTATAAACAGATGTATTGTGTTATGAACTTTATGCTATTTAGGAGATACAAATGTAGTTTTCTGTTACTAATCTGCAGTCATTCTCAAAGGGGGGGGGTAATTTAGACATATTTTGTACTTTACAGTGGTGACAAGGTTGTTCAAATTGATGAGTCCATATAGAGTTAGGGTAGAGAAAATAACAGATAAAAATATAGTCTTACTGAAAAAAAGGTTTGGTATTTATTTAGGAGGTTTTAGAAAATATGTAAATGAAATTTGAAAATCTTCAGATGAAGAACAATATTTTTAATCTTAACATGAAAATCATTGAGCACTTGAAGCAATTAACACTATTTCATATATTTATGGACAAATCTTTAGTAAAAATGGTTAATTAAAAAATTGATTTCTTGTGTAGAAAAGACTTTTAATGTTTACTGAAAGCTTGTCAAATTTTGTGAAGATACACAAAACATATTAAAAGTTATAGTATGGAAAATCTAATGATCATTTTGTGGTTTCAAAGCTGGTCAGATCAACCGACCCTGTAAGGAAAGTGTTAAGTTTACCTAAACTTGTTTTTAGTCATTACTAATATCTCAGCCACTGTAACTTTCTTGTATATTTTTATACATAAAATTGTTCTGACCAAATATCCTAAATACTCAGTAGTATGTTTATAATAACTTGTGATGTGGTCACTAAGCTGTTAAATATTTTTATTGTCAGATAGGAAGACTTGTATACTAAACTGTGCAAAGATGGTGAGAAAAATATTTTATGTAAAGAAGCTCAGTCTCTTATAATTGCAGAACACAAGTAAAATGCAAAACATTTACACATGTATTAATGAAGAAAAACCTTAGTAATGCAACAGTAGTATAAAGACTAGGACATTTGTTTCAACACTTTCATGTGGCCTTTTCAGTCCTACAGAGTATTCTTGAGAAGAAATTTGCTTTCACAGCCTAGATAGTGCCTGATTGTGAAGTTCCTTAAGGGAACATGGTCAGGAAACAGTTCAACTTCAAATGACCTTAAAATAATGCAGTATTTTTCCATAGAATATACTCTGATGACATTATGAACTATGAATCAGTCAAAATCTTACTAGATAAGACTAAAAATTACAGAAAACAGAGAATGTTTAAATCTCTAACGTTAAACGTCTCAATATTTAACACCTCTGAAGTGGGAGAAACATTGCAGTGAAAAGTTAATAGCAATAATAGAGGCAATATTGCCCAATAACTACTTATTATAATGCATTAACTCAGCTAGGCACCTCTGTTCAAAACATGATGTGAAGAAGATTATCCACTTATTTTGAATTTGTGCTAAAGATTTATTTGACTTTTGGAAGTGATAAAAGCTTTATGTAACTGTTGGCTTTGTAATATCAAGAAGTTTTAACATTAAGGCTTAAGAGACTGCTTCGGAATTTAAACAAAAAATCAGTCTTTGTTTTCTCATTTACAATATTGGAAAAAGCAAAGTAGGCTTAGTTTTTCCTATTTTATTATTAGTTAAGAAGTCAGTTTTATTTTTTGTATTTTTATTGAACCACTAAATAGAGGATTAATGAACTCTTTTTGCTGTATGTCATCAGAATAAGTGGTCTTTTAAAGCTGTTGTAAATATTATGTGTGACGAAGACCTACATCTTTTACAAGTAAGTTACATAACCATCGTGAAAGTTCTTTGCAAAAATGAAACTAGTAGGTGAAATTGTTTGAAAGTTGATATGAACTTTCCTAAAAGTATCTAGTTTCAGAAAATATAATAATTAATTTTTGTTTTTTCTACGATTTTAATGAAAGATTTGTTATTTAACATAGCTATTTGCACTTGGACTTTGAATAGTTAGCATGCAAGGTGATTTTTATTTTGAGTATAAAAAATACTATTTATTATATTAGTTTTCACATTTCATTTGCATAATCTCTAGAGCCTCCTAAATGAATGTCAAAAGTTTTTTTTCTTAAGGTGAATGTTTATATTTTATTTTCCTTTGTCTCTACATCACTAACTCAAGCTATTATTATCAATGTACAGTGCATTGAAATGTTTAAAATTAAGAAATTTAAATATATACATTCCTTTTATCCCTTCGTTGAATCATCTTGTATATATCTTCTTTTCATATGGATAATTTCACGTTTTCATCTTTTCACTTATTATTTATTTTTCTTTGTAGTTCTTTGTCATTTATTATTTATGCCAAAATGTCACAAATTGCACGCAGTCAATTATCACGTACTGTTGGGGGTAGATGTGTAGCTGCGAGAAAAATATTTTGCCCATGTCCTTTGTTTACAAGTCTTGTAATAAGTAAATCATTAAACTTAAAATAATCATTAAACATTTCAAATATGAATTTTGAAACACAAATAATACATAATTAACTAAAATATGAAAGTAAAGCCTAAATGCAATTTTAACTGTCTATTAATCTTATATGTATAAGGTGAAAAAAGTATAGCCAAATGCTAGGGACCTCACTCTAGACAATAGATTGAGCTCCTTTTGTACTTCATACATACAAATACGTACACTGCTAATGTCTCCTGACCTAGTTAGCTAAATAGCGGGAAATCTACTCTTTCTATTGGTTATAAGTAGCTGAGCTTCTACCTTGAAAGTGGACATGGCTTATCTTTAACGATGGAATTTTCAACAGTCGTTTCTCCAACTTCAGTTCTATGAATGTCTCCAATTATGTCTAAACTTCTACATGTTGTACTTTGACCGTCTGAAGGAAGGCAAGTCTACATTCTCACACTTGTTGCTCTTAAATAGCTCTAAAGATGAGATTTTTAACTGCGGTTATGATACGTGCTGACGTTTTAATTATTGTTTTAGAAGTTTCTTTTGAAATAAAGGAATAAAAAGTTGTATAATATACAACTTTGAATTGTAATGTACATGATAATTTCCTTTAAAATACACATACAATTAAGTGTTTTCTTTAAATTTTTAATCTAACTCTGTAACATGCATGCAGTGGAGTTTAAAAATTGCATCATTTCCATAGGGTTAAGGTATATACTGAATGCTTTTAGAGGTATAAAATTGAAACTTTTTGTTGTCAGGGGACTATCCAGCAGCAGTAAGACACTATACAGAAGGCATAAGACGGAACCCTGATGATCCTAAGCTCTACAGTAACCGCGCAGCCTGCTACCAAAAGCTAGCAGAGTTTCATCTAGCCTTAAAGGACTGTGATGAATGTATCAAATTAGACCCACGTTTTGGTAAGCTTAAATATTGTTTTTTTTTTTTTTTATTGGATTTGTATTTATATAATGTAATATTTATTGTTGTTCTTTTATAAGAAGTTAGTCAAGTAATAAAAAATGATATCAGCTAAAATTTATAGTGAAAATATTGTCTAGTTAAATTTTCTTTTTAAGTTTCAGATCAAGCGATCTAATGAACAAACATGTTTATCTGTAAATTAGATGCGAGATATAATGTGCAATTAGTTAGTTTCATTAGTCAGAAAATCTCTGAAGGAGTACAATAACTAATAAAAAAAAGAAAAAAGCCCAAAGTTTTTTATATTCATTGTAGAATACGATTTATGTCATGATAAAATTAAGGAAACCTCTAAATGTATTACCGTCATGAACAGAATGTTGCTTTCTAGAATCGCACCATACAAACTTTTATGAAATTGTCTACCTAGTATCTTGTATGAGATAAAGATGTTGGAGGCATTTGATATGTGATCATCCCTAAACAATGCAACATTTTTGGTTGAAACATCAACTGATGATCATGTTTTGCTAATTAATGTAAGCTTATTTTTTGTCATAAAAAAGGATCAGCCTCATTTCTTCATCATGAGATTAAGTTGTTAAAAAATTATAGCAAAGAAAAGCTACAAAATGTGTCCAAAATAAAAAAAGGCAATAAAAGCATCAGTTATTTTATATTCATTCATTTTTAATGGTATTTTAAAAAAGAAGTGTTCCTTGAAGTCACACTAGTCATTTTGCTTGATGCAAAACTGGAATCACAATGACCTGGATTCTTGTACGTGGTGAGGGGAACTTCCAGAGAAGGTTCTGTATTTTCAGTTACTTCCTCTGGGATCTAAACATCCACCAATGTGTTTGCCGTGCGTGGTGACCCGTGAAGGGGAGGAGAGGATCCTGGTGGTTGAGTGGTGTCTGAGGCTCTGCAACACACCACTTTGGCCTTGAATTCCTGTAGATGGGTGGTCCCTTCCAGGATCAATTGGCTGGTCCACTCGGGCTAGGGACAACTGAGTACCAGTGTTGGGCATTCTCAATGGGTGTTGTGGACATCGTGTCTGATGCTGGTGTTTGGGTATAGTGCGCACGAAACCCTGGCTTTGCTGCAGTGTCCTTGTTTGACATTGTAGTGCGTCCCCTCGTAGGACTTCATGGCAGGTGGGGTCAGTGGGCACTGAATCTTTCTCCTTAATTATGGATCCCCCCAATCCAAATAACAAAAATGTTAAAAATCTGCTAAACGGTAAACGACCACGCTTAGAAGACTCTGACCAGCAGTCTCCATCACAAAGTACACCTGTACCTCGCTTCCTGATCCTGCATTCACTGTCTGATAAATCTTTAGGGCAAATTTCTCCCTTTTTTATTCAGAAGGGCAAAGAGGGGCTTGCTGGCTCTCCAAAGTCAGCTAAGAAGCTCCGTTCCAGAGACATCTTGGTTGAAATATCCACAGTTAAGCACAGTGAACTCTTCTTGAATTCAAAGGCCATTGGGGATATACCCATTGAGGTTACTCCCCACTCTTCCTTGAATTCGTCAGGAGGAGTTATTGTTGAGAGGGACTTGAAGTCTATCCCCGAGTCAGAGATCCTTGCTGGTTTCTCCAGCCAAGGTGTTTCAGCTGTTCAAAGGATCTCCACTCGTCAAGATGGAATTATGGTGCTGACCTCAGTTCTAATTTTGACGTTTTCATCACCACATCCACCTGCTGCTGTTAAGGCAGGTTATTTGAACTGTAAGGTACGGCCTTATATTCCCAACCCTCTCCGAAGTTTTCAGTGCCAGTGGTACGGTCACTCAAAGATATCTTGCCGTGGTTCTGTGACGTGTGCTCTTTGTGGTGGCAAGGACCATGATGCCAACAAGTGCAAAATGGACCCTCACTGTGTTAATTGTAGTGGTTCCC